TCTAAATAATATGTTATATAAAGTACCCCTGATTTGATTCACCTAATAATGAGAAGACTAATATGAGGAAGATCTAATAAAAAAGCAAAAATAAACAAAGTTTTGTAAGGCATACCTTAATTTGTCTCCATCTATGCAGCAATCAGAATTCCACAGCTGTGCAATCAACCAACCAACTAGTTGAATGACTCAAGAGCATCAGAAGTACCAACTCTATAGAAAAACCAGAAACTCTAGAATACTGAATCACCGCTAACTATCGGCTAACTATCTAAATTTACTGATAGTACGGATACTAGTCATTTAACCTAGCATACAAGTGTATAGTGACAAGTCAGTTTTGTCCCTTTTCACTCAACAGCAATCACGCGCATAAGCTCAGTCCATATCTGTATGCCTAAATCTATAAGCGCTATATTTATAATAAATGCATGATTGCGGTACTTGCGGGCCTGAGTAAAATTGCTTCGAGGACCATATGCGATCTAGGATTTAACAAATCTGTATTCAAAATATTGAGGAAATTAGGCATCTGCTTCTTCGTACCGAAGTTCATTGGCTATGAAAGGAAATCTGCTCCAGCTGTTTTTCAAAATTTTTCAAACTCCGTGCTCAGCGCCGGATTTAGACTTGATGAGGCCCTAAGATATTTGAGGTATGGGGCCCTTTATTAGTATGTTATACCGCATTTTAATATTATATTTTATTTTTTCGGGACCCCCAAGAAAGTAGGGGACCAAAGTTATAGCTTGTGTAGCTTATACGTAAATCCTGTACTGTCCGTGCTGGAGTTCCTTGAAGACTAAGACGCCGCTTGATAAATTAAAAAAAACAGGTATCACATATTTGGCACATTTGCTTAATACACTCATGTTTATAAATTAAGGATAATGCAAAATCAGGCAAAGGAAGAGTTAGGAGCAAAACAAATTTGACTTATTTGTAAAGCTTATTTATTAAACAAAAGGTAAAGAGCAAAAAAAGATGCTATATGTTTGATATTATTAAAAAAATTAGCGATTTTTTATCCCTGAGGCAAATTTAAAAAAAAATCTATTTTCAGAAAACCAATATTACATGATTGCATGTCCCACACGTGCTCTACTGGATTCAAGTCCGGTGAGAGTGTTCATACGGGTGATATCCTCCGATGAAGGCATTCGCTTACAATGTTTGCACGGGCGTTGTCATCCATAAACACAAATTGTGCGCCCATGGAGCCCCGAAACAAACGCACATGTTGTTCCAGAATGACGTCCCGATAGATTTGGCTTGTCATGGTTCCAATTTGAACATGCAGGTCAGTTCTGGAACCCAGAATAATTCCACACCGAACGAGCACTCCTGCACCACCGTAACGGTGTCGTTCAATGACGTTTTCTTGGTGGTAACGGGTCCCTGGAGCTCTCCATATGAAAGTCCGGCGAGAATCAGACTGCAAGCTAAACCCGGACTCGTCGGAAAACATCAGACAAGCCCACTGTTGCGGTGTCCACAATGCATGCTCTCTACTCCAGGCTAACCGCAGGCGACAGTGAGTTGCAGTAAGTGGAACGCATCTGACAGGTCTACGAGCATATAGACCAATCTGCGTCTGTACACGGTCTGCCTTGAAATTGCCGTACCAGTGGCTGAAGAGAGCTGACGAGACAGGTGTGAGGCTATGCTCCGCCTGTTTCTTTTGCTGCCAAATACCGGTCCTCATTCGGCGTTGTAACTCTCGGGCGACCTGTGCTGTGACGTCTACTCACATTATCATCATCTTGGAATCGTTGCCAAAGCCTGGAGATGACACTCTGGGCAATTCCAATTTCGTCTGATACTTCCAGTTGGGTACGTTCACATTCCAGACGGCCGATAATTCTACCACGTAAAAAATCATCCAAATGCGTCCTTTGTGTCATAACTATTCGGTTATTGCACTGAAATTCTTATAAAGCGCCTGCGAACAATTTTACTTCTTTGCCTGTATTCCTTGTCTTACATTCTCGTCATTGTGACATACCATTGGTGTCATCTGGTTACTTCCTGAAATTTGCGTATGATTCTTGAAGATGTGTGTAGTGATTTTACAGGTGATATATTATTTTAGAGTTCGATTTCCGCGTTACTCCGAATTATCCGTAATTTATGGCCATGAGTGTGAATTCAATTGCCCGTTCCAATGTGATGAACTAAGTCTAATAAAAACGAAAATGTTGTTTCTGTGTTGAAGTCAAATGACGAAAATATCCTGCTTGTATCAAATCTTAAAATGTGTAAACGAAGCTTAGGATTGGAAGAATCTGCACACTTTTCAAATGCAACAACTATAGAAAAAACAATTATTGTGCATTTGAATTTTGCCAACGTTTGGAAGCACTAAAAGCAGACTTCAAGAAATATTTCCAATGTAGAAGTATACTTTAAAAATGGGTCTGCTCGACTAGCTTTTGAAACTATTTCACGTACAATTTGAAAAGAATCTCCAAACTTAGAATTTATTAAAGTAAGAGCTAATGAAGAGTTAAATTTTAAATTTAGGTCTCGATAAAACTGTTTTAGCTGCAGAAGCAGATACCTGAACTTCATCCTTGTTTATGGATTATTGCAAAGAAATTTGTCATAGCATTCCCTTCCTATACAGGAGCGCGCGTTCAATGCAGTAATAATTCTAATAGCTGAAAACAATCAGTTGCAGATAGTTGGTGATGAAGGTCTGAGAATAGTGTTTATAAAAAATAGAGTGAATGTTGACAAACTGGTAAAACTTCATCATACAAGGGCCAACTAGATAACTACATACTCTTCCCTTTCGTTAAACTTATTTTGTTTCTTATTTGATTTGTGATCCCGTCTTGTTATATAAATTAGTTAAACCTGACTATCCTTTTATTGCTAATTAACAAACAAATCTTTCAACCTCATCATTAGCCCACAGGCGTTAGCTCAGAAGGGCTATTTATTTCGTTTTGGCATTTTGCATTGGTTCACTATAAATGTCGGTTCACTTTTCAAACTGTTGCCACCAAACATTAGAATCCTGTGATATATTCAAAGAAATTAAATAATGAAGAATCTGTGTGAATGTATATATATTTCTCGCACTGTGATGAAACAACGGTACCTAGAGCCATCTAGTTTTGAATAACGCAAACTTCCACTGAATATGGGTATCTGGAAGCCCTAATTTAGAATTTCGCTTATTATCGGTTTCATATTTTGTAACACGTTAACGAATTTTTGGTTAACAATCTCAATGATTTCAAAGCATGCAATGGCAACACTGCACGAAAGAAAAAATTTTCTCCAGCGCGCAAGACTGTGTATTTTAAATTCTAAAGATATTCTCATAGTAAAATTATTTTGCGATATTACTGAATTGAATGGAATTTTATGGTTTGAGTGCGAAGAACACGATATTTGATAAATAAAGGTAGCACACAAAACGTTAAAAAAAGTCCCTTTGGGCGTAATGTAAAATTTGAAAGCTTCCAAATTATTTTTAATTTATATTTTTGTTGTTTTATTTTCGTAAATATGGTTCTAAACATATAGATGTGGGACGGATATTCAATTTTATATAAATAGGTGATAAGCCTAAGGAGTTTATAATTCTAATCTCAATAAACAGAATGAATTTGAAAAACACTGCATTAAAATAAGACTTAAGGTCTTAAGACTTTTTTATTGACTTTATTTATCAATTATGCCCCGCTTAGCTAGTAGTATCACTAGCGTTTTGTCGGCTGAATAAAATAAAGATCCTGTAGGACGCTGAAAGTAAAAAATTACATAATCTAAAAAATGCATTTTATGATTAAAGTTGAAGAAAGCGGGGCCAAAAGTTGTAATTTTTCTTCTTGCGAAGTACCCTTTTTATGGCAAACTTCAGTAATCTACTTAAAAATTCAGTGACTTTATCTAACTGTGTTCCAGAAAATAAATCTTTCTCAGCGTTAGAGTGTCTTTCATCTTATCAGGAGTAGCTGACGCATGCGCAGTAGCTCTGACATCTGAGGATGCAATCTTGGGTTTAGAATCCTTCGTAGCGGGATTGTTAATCAACGCTGGTGTTGATTTAACGTCAGATTTTCTTGGGTGAATTTAGGGGAAAAGTTCAAAACCTCTATAAACAGATTTGACTTCAGGTTTGATGCGAAGTTAAGGAGAAACTCACATCCCTTATAGGACTCTACATGCGATTTTTGGCATCTCTCACATGTAGGGTTTTCTTTACGTTTTAATATGCAAGTATAGGTAAGATGATTACAGCCACACTTAAGACATCTCGGTGAGTTATTCCAGAATTATTGTCCGGGCCCGAAACGCTGACAACGGAAACGCATTATAGTGCTTATATTAGATCTGAATCTGCGAATTTTAACATGCGGGCTCAGTATCGTCTTCCTTTTGTAAATACTACTGGCTATATCAGTGACACGAAAAATACAAGCAGCTTTTCTTCTGAATCAGCAATTTTCCTAGTAAACTCAGTGACTTGAATCCCTGGGAAACCATCGTTACACAGTTCATTCTTGATGTCTTCAACATCAGAGTCTTCTGATAACCCTCTAATGGCCACCTTCAGAGGTGAGTCTTTTTTTAATCGAAACGTACTAAATTGAAAGTCCTTTTTAATAAAAATAGCCCAAGCTCGCGATCTTCAGCGTTATCAAAAATGATAGTGATGTTGTCTCTCGTTAATGTTCCCCTGTAACCATTTACACCATGTTTGGTAAAAAGGCTCCTAACTTCATTCCAAGAGACCTCCGATTGGTGACAGTTTAAAAGTCCTCCACGATAACAACACCAACACCGAACACTCACACTCGTTGCAGTGACATGCAACTGTACCTCACTAAAAAGAAAGAGAGAACCCTTTTTTTTACCTGGTCCTTAGGAATTTATTTTTCTTTCAAACATTCGCATTTTGTTTACCTTTTCTTCCCATCTAAGCTTGAGTTTTCGCCCCGCAGGTAGAAAGACGTATGAAATGCAAAACGAAACAAATATCTATTTTGTCTGTCTGTCTAAATGCGTAGTTTGGCGCGTAGCACATTTTAAATTCTTTAATGTAATGTGATTATTTGTAATATTATATTTTTAATTGAAGAAGATCGATATATATACATGTGCATATATATTTAAAAATGCCAGAAATTAAAATCAAGCACATAGTTTCATTTAGCAGTGAAGATAAGGTAACTTATGCCTTCGGAGTATATAATATTCCGTGCTCGTTCCAAATGACAAACATAAATTTTTTGTTAATTTTTTTAAAGATTGAGTCATGTCAGATAATTTCCATTATTATTGTGTTAAATTTTTTTACAAAATTGTGAACTAAGTGCATAAAACTTGCGCTGAATATGTTATTGTTTAAAACGATGTAATTGTTATTTTGCCCCCTTGAACGAGTAGAAGTGTTTTTTTTTAAATTAAAATAAAAAATCAGTACTGGCATTTAATTGGCTTAATTTTCAGGTTCATAAAGCTGAGAATTTACTTATACCAGAAACTTATAAGAAATGGAAATGTGCAACACCCGGGGAAAAGAATGCAAGTGTTGTTTTACAGTTTGAGAAAGCCACTAAGATACATTCACTTGATATAGGGAATGATGGCTCAGCATTTGTTGAGGTTCTTGTGGGTCGATCCTCAGATCCCTTGAATAATTATCAAGTAAGAAATTAAATTTTTATTACTTATATAAGTAACTAATTTTCATGTTCTAGTATATTGACATCATTCACTAATATGTTTGGCCAATCATCTACATATCAAAAATGTCTTGCCCAACAAAATGTCCTAAATGGATTTTTTTTTCTTTTGTGAATTATCTGTTCACATTTTTACAGAAAAAGTCTCTTTCTTTCATGATGCTTTAACAGTACCTCTTAAATAGACTGTTCTTAATACACAAAACAACTATGCATTAAGCAGGAACGGTGTAAATTGAGAGACAACACAACATACACTAATGTTTGAAATATACATGTATTTTCTTTTGCTTAGGTGTTTATTGCCAATATGCTGCATACTAAAATAACTTATATTGTATAGCAAACAGGTTAGATGCAAAACATTAAAATTTTTATTTATACATATTTCTCCAGGCCAAGATTCAGCAAACACTTTTAACCGTATATTAAAAAAATTTTTTTTTTTCAATGCATCATGAGGACAGGGCAGTCGTTATGTGTGATGTTACTTTGTGAAGATCTTTTGAGGTGCTCTTGTTTGTGAGGACACAATGGAGAGGGTAAAAAAACACCTTTTTGCTGGTAAAAAAATTAAAAAAGTTACAATTTAAAATGTTTTATGCACTCAATTTTGTACTCTCTTACTTTAAACTAGCCACTTGCATGACAAAAATAGTTATAAAAAAGGAAAATGTATGATGATTTTGGTGTTACTTTATAAAAATATTTGGTACAATTTCGTTTCAGGGACCGTTGCATTAGTTTAGATAGTTCTATATTTGTAAGTTGCCATTGAAATACTAGTTTAATTTTTAAATTCTTTTTTTGATAACGCTATGGATTTAGCAATTTGGGAATAGTCCAGTGACAAAAAATCTGCAATAGAATTTTTTTCAAGGCATCATTCATGATAGAAAATTATGTTTGAACAACGACAAGATCAAATTATGCTTTAGCGATAACTCGGTAGTATTATGGCAGTGCAGGAAAGAAACCTGTAACGAGAAGAAAGGATCAAGAAGTCAAAAATTGGTTTGAAGGCACCAAAATTCCCTTCCTTACAGCTGTTAGGTTCATCTATTTTTGGTGTTAAGAAATGTCATCTGTTGAATTTTTGAACTGCAGCTGAAGATGAACCACAATACAATTGTAGACAATTGTAGACTGAAACAGTTAATGCGCGAGGTATGTGTCGTGGCTTTAATTGCTCGGCCTAAGTCGAAAATCGGCAGATGTGGCAAAATTATTGAAGCTGTTTCGGTAAAAGCTGTTCCGGTTCGGTTTATACAAAAGCTGTTTTGGTAAAAGAATGAATAATGTTGAACGTGTTCGGGTTTTTGGCGGATTATGCAGAGAATCGACTGAATGTTTCTTAGTCGCTGTTCGAGATCGATCGGCGAAAACCTTATTGAACATCGTAAAGGAAAATATTGCTGAAGGAAGTGTTATTTATACTGACAGCTGAAAATCATACAAGTCAGATGAACTGCAAGATGCCGGTTTTAAACACTTAACTATCAAACACTACTACATTTTTGTGGGTGGTACATACACAAACAGTAAAGCGGCTGTGGTGCAGTGCTAAATGGTGTAATAAACACCATCGGGGCACTGCTCGACAGCATTTCGATTCTTATTTGTCCAAGGTTTTGTACAGACGGTTTCAGAAAAAAAACTGAAATTTTTTTTGCTCTTTTGGCATAAAAATTAATTTCAAGTATATTTAGCTTTTTTTTAATAAATTAAAGTAATAAAAATTTGTATTATATGAAATCAACCTTTCATTTCCATTAAAATAATAATCTGAAATAGGTATTTACTTTTATGCTTCCTTCAGTTATATTTAGCCCTTTTTTATATGCATAGTAATAATAAAAAATTGTGTGGTATGAAATTAAACCTTTCACCTAAATTAAAATAATAATCTAAAATAGTTATTTACTGTTATGCTTATATTCAGTTACGTTTAGCCTTTTTTATATAAATTATAATAATAAAGCAATGTACTATACAAAATTAACTTTTCATCTAAATTAAAACAATAACCTTAAATAGTTATTTACTATTATGCTTCCTTTCTTGTATTAGGATTGCCGTAATTATTTTCGGCAGAATTGGGATCAACAATAGTTTAGCGATTTTTTACGGTCCTCAAAATGGAATTGGGTTAGAGTAGACTTTACGGTATCCCTTGTATTATGGCGTATTTGTTTCATTTATGGCCAAGTTCTTTCATTTATGGTAGCCTGAGTAGTTGAATGTTATAGTAACCGGTTAATCTTTACATTACGGTAACTTGGCGATGTTTTGGCGAAAATTTGGCAACCAACTCTCCTACAGCAACCCTCTATTTTTTTTTCCCCCGCCGCCATTTTGTCTTCACGAAGTAAAGACATGTTTCTTTTCTTTTTATCTACTGAACACTTCTTCCAACAATCTACTAGCCGAATTACACTTATGCTAGAAATTTTATCTAACAAAACTGCTTAATCATGACAAATATTCACTGCAAAATTGGGAAAAAGTGCACAATACCATACTCCTTACGCATTTTTCAAAATAACACATACACATAAACCATGTACACGTCGACTTATTTTTACTTAAAAAAACATCCCAGAATTACACAAAAATGGCATTGCGCACACTCTTCACTATATCCATGTATACTGCTTTTTTCTCATAAATTCGAAAAATTTTACGAAAATCCATGACAATTTTCTGAATCTTTAAAACCGGTAAAAAGAACATATATGAAATTACCTGATCGCGAAAAAGTATATACCCTTTCCACATATGAACATTTCCACATATAAAATAAATAAAATATCCAAAAAATTTTACCTCTAAATCATCTATTATATTATAAACATCACTAACGAATTCATACCGCAAGCATTACAAATACTTAGTGTCAAATATTTAAATTACTTCCATGCACGTTTACTTTCAACTAAAACGTATACCAAATTCCTACAAACATAAATTCACAAAATAACTATCATTTAATTAAAATATCACTAAACCATGTACAACGTCGACTTATTTTACTTAAAAAAAAATCCCCAGAATTGCACAAAAATGGCATTGCGCACACTCTTCACCATATCCATGTACACTCCTTTTTTCTCATAAATTAAAAAATTTCAAATTTCACGAAAATGCATGACAATTTTTCTGAATCTTTAAACCCGTTAAAAAGAACATATATGAAATTACCTAATAACAAAAAAGTATATACCCTTTTCAAATATGAACATTTCCACGTATAAAATAAATAAATTATGCAAAAACTTTTACCTCTAAACTATCTATTATATTATAAACGTCACCAACGAATTCATACCGCAAGCATTACAAATACTTAGTATCAGATATTTAAATTATTTCCATGCACGTTTACTTCAACTAAAACATATACCAAATTCCTACAAACATAAAATTCACAAAATAACTATCATTTCATTAAAATATAATTAAATTCAAAAACACTACTTAAAATATAAATAAGCACATACATTAAATTAATAAAAATTAGCTTACAATCCTAATTACTTTAAACTAAATCATTGCTAATAACAATTTTCCCAATAATACCAAATTACTTTACTTCCACCTTACATTTAGAACAATGCATAAAAATAATATCCTCAAATAATTAAAAATACTAACTTACCTAATCTTCTTCAGAATCTTGATTACGTGTCTGATAAACTTTTCTTATTTCCTCCGATAAATAAAAAGCAAGCGTATGTGCGCTTGTTTCAGGATCTTTAAAATCATACTTATAGTTCACAGCAAGGTACCAGGTAAAATAAATATCTTAATAAAACATCTTTACTTCTATCTCGCACAACCTTAAAGAAACACTTATTACTACCCCCTTTCAATTCAATCCACTAAATACCCATTTCGAATTCACTTTAGTTAGGGCCATGGGATCCAAAAATTAACGAACGCTGTTTCACACAACACAGAATAAAGCCAAATACAAAATTTCCAGATTTTTTCCCGATTTCCCCCCTTTTCCGATTAAAGAACCGTAATTTGTCCATTAATATCACATGACATATCCCATGATCTCTCATTTCCCTCACACAAAATAATGCATAATCGGAACTGAGTACTGCTCACATTATTACCAAAGTCCCAGGTAGTAACCTTTATCGCCTCCAAAATGTCGCCAAACTACCAGTTACCATATTCTAAAGATCAGCCTAAATTTCTGGTTACAATTTTCTAATTTCGACTATGCGTAATGTATGCTTTACGCATGCATGCATTGAAAGAAATGTTTAATAAAGTAAACAAATAAATATGAAGCTTTTTTTTTGTAAATTTTGATACCCTTTAGATCATAATTGCTCTTTATTTCATAAATTTTGGTTTCATATTTTTAATTTTATAATTTCTGCATGCCATCCTACCAGATTTAAATTGATGATCTATAATCCGGAAAAACCGATAATCTGGAATCGCCGAAGTTCCGGCGAGTCCGGATTAAAGACTTTTGACTGTATATGATTTACTGACAGTCTTGTGCTATGTGTACTAAGCAAAACATAATTTTAATCCTTGTATAAGCAACTTTAATTTTTATTTTAATTGAAAGACTTAAAAACGAAATATAAAAGTTCCTAAATGACATTATTTAGCTCATGGAAGTTGCCTGCTTTTCTAAAGATTGAAAGCAAGAGAAAACATCACATAATGAACTCATTTCAAATTACATAGTAAGCTCATGTTTTCAGTAATTTTATGGATTTGATTTACAAGTCTGGTTGCAATTAAGAAAGCATATTTTAATAATTTGCAAAAAAAAATCAGAAATTCTGTGATGAAAGTTCTTTGTTAGAATATACGTCACATTAAAAATAAGTATGCATATGAAAATATATATTATATTTCACGCATTAATTTTATTACATTTATTTACTTTAAACATGGGCTAATGTCGAGGAGCCCCCAAATAAATTACTTATACCATTTGAAACATTTTTTATAGTAGTAGATAGTGAGTAGTGACTGCATCTCTAATATCCACTCGTCCTGTATGTTTTTGTAATGTAATTTCCTAATGTTTTTTTGTAATGGTGTCTTAATACTTTCTCCTGTTTTCTGATTTTGTTTGCTGCTAAAGGCACTCACATCGTTGCTACTCAGATCTGCTTGTAATAAAGCTGCATAGTCAGCTTCTGATAAATATCGCTTTCATTTTGATATTAAAAAAAGAGTTTTTTTAACATTTTGTGTGTTACATTTATTTATTAAATATCACATTCTTCGCACTTAAATCATAAAATTCAGTTCAACAGAAATATCGCAAAATAGTTTTAAAATGAGCATATCTTTAGAATTTCCGATACAGAGACTCGCACGCTGAAGATAAAAATGTTTTTTCTGTACAACATTTTCATTACTCGCTTTGAAATCCTTGAGCTTGTTAATAAAAAATTCGTTAAAGTTTTACAAAATATGAAATCGATAACAAAAGAAATTCCAAATTTCGAATTTTGTATTCTGCATGCCCATATTCGTAGGCGGATTACGTCATTCAAAATTCGATGACTCTATGTACTGTTGTTTTATCACAATGCGAGAAATATACATACATTTATGCAGATTTTTGATTATTTAATTTCTTCAAATATAATGCAGGACTCTTAACATTTGGTGGCAACAGTTTGAAAAGTGATTTGCCGTTTATAGTGATTGAAATCGCAGAACGAAAACAGCAGTCCTTAAGGGACAAATCCACTTTGGGCTAATTTAAAAAAAAAAAAAAAAAAAAAAAAAAAAAAAACGCATAAGAGCTAGCACTCTTGTTTATGTTATTAAATCCCATGATCTACCCTTCAGAAAGAAATAGAACAATCCAAGGTCAAATTTCAAGCATCATATTCCCACTTACATTGGTACCATGGACATAGGAACCCATTAATAGAATTAAAAATATTTACATTTCATTCCATGTAATTGTCACGTATACATTACAAGCCATCCAGCTAGGCACTAATCCTCTGAGATGCAAACGTCAGTCACACCTGCGATAGATGAACTGAGTACTGCCATGGCATATGCGGCACACATGTCCGGAAAGGGTTAAACATCATTAGTTTATTAGATTTATATAATTACTTAGTTAACCTTTGTTTTCATAATCTTCCATTCATAAGCATGATAGTTAAATCATTAAAAAAGTTATTTTACATAATAATGTAATACACTGCTGGCCATTAAAATTGCGACACCATGAACAAAAGCAAATACAAAAATGATATTTATTGTATGTAAACAGTATGACATGAAAACAAAAGAATTAAATTTATAAGCATTTTAGAGGTTTACAGGGATGCAAAATTAGTAGAAACAGCTGCCATGCCTGTCTTACCCATTAGGTGTGGAGTCAAATTGGGCTTTGGATGACAGAAATGGGCAACTCATTCTATGCTGCTTCAAGTTCATGCCGCACTTCATCAACTGTATTATTTGGAGAGGAGTGGCGAGTCAGTCTCTCAGCAAATCATGACCAGATGTTTTCAGTGGGTGACAGATCCGGAGATCATGCAGGCCAGGGCAGCAATAGAATACCCTGTGTATCGAGGAAGGTCAGAACACAACTTGCAACATGTGGTCTTGCATTATCTTGTTGGAAGATGTCGTTTGGCAGGCCTCGAAGATAGGTCACAACCACTGGATGTAAGATGTCAGAAATATACCAATCTGCATTCAAATTACCATCAATCTGCACTAGAGATATGCATATCGTATACCCAATGTCTGCCCTGCCAGGTACAGGGCTCCTGTGCCAATATCAAATGCAAGCAGGTGACGTGTGCTCTCCTTGGAGTCTCCAGGCATGTATACAGTCATCAGAATAGTGCACCTGGAATCAGGACTTGTCTAAAAAGATTACATTGTGCCACTCCTTTATCCAGCTTTGTTCATTTGGTGCACCTTAGTTGTCATCTCTCTCTATACCGCATTGCAAAGGGAAGCCGTAGTAATGGTCCCCGTGCTGATAGTCAACACTGCTGCAAACATCGATGCACCGTACGAGAGAATATCGGACGTGCTGCAAACATGCCCATTTCCTGAATAATGGTCCATGATTTGGTGTACAGTTCTGCAGGGCTGACCTCCCACTATGCCTGTCTTTTCTGGTAGTCATAGAAGGGCATTGAGCTCATGCATGCCGTTCAGTATAACCCTTAGCAACCCAACGAATCCATATTCGTGTGACTGTGTTTGGATGTCGAACCAGTGCGACGGGTGATATCACAGAACACTAATCCACTCTTTCGATAGGCAACGATCCTGCCTTTATCGAATTCCCACACTTGCTGGTAAACATTTCTTCTTATTGGAGGCATAACACAATATTCTGAGCAAACTCCAACCTTATAAAGGACCTTTCGGAATAAGAAATCCACTACACAACTTTTCTTTTATGCAGTGCTTCAGATGTCATTTCTCCCTCCTGTGTCGTCTAAATGCGTTGAAATGCTAATCATTTGCATATCCCACCTCTTCTTCCTTTCATGTGATTTTGATGTTTGTCAGATCATCTTTTTCTGGTTTTGCAAATTTAATGGTCAGCAGTGTATATACCAGAGAAGAATCTCTTGACCAGATAAAAGGCGAACATATATTTTGGAGGATTCAGAAATAATTTGTTTTCCAGGTATAATAGAAGTTTGAAATATTTAAGATCACTATATATGTTATAGGAAGTGCATTAAGAACAAAATTTCCTACTGCTTAGAACATCAGGTAATAAATTGAAAATTTACCTACATAACTGCATAAAAATAAAAAAGAAAATATATATTTAATTGTAATAATTTTTTTTTTGCTTGAATTCTAAATTATGAGCATCTTAGCTGATTTTTAGAAATGGATAACAATATCATTAAAATCAATTATGTGTATATTTATTCACATTGTATTTGTTGTTTACCTTTCCCATGATGAAATTGGGTAGTCTGATGTATGCATTGAGCATGCAGATTATTTTTTCACTATTTGTGTAATGATTCGAAATGCAGATAATCAGCTGAGTGGGTACTAATCAATTGTAATTTTTCTATATGTTTTGAGCAACATGTGCCTCTCAAAGTATAAATAAATAATTAAGTTTACTTTTTGTAAGTGTTAGTGTGTCTTTGTCACAACTTCTTACCAAAAATTGCTTCATATTGAATGTAGTGATTTCTTGAGATTTAGATTCCATGCTGTACCTTTTTTTAATTAGCTGCTGATATTTTAATTACTAATCAAATCACTTTGATTATCAAGTAATCTTTTAAGAATTAATCTTTGAAATCCAGAAAAGTCTGACACGTGCATATTTTCTTTATAGCTTCAGATTACCTTTCTACTATGGTCTTTAAGAAAGGTTATTTTATTTTAAAACTTTTTAAAATCATTGAAGTATTTCTTTTTGATATGCTAATAAAATGTCATGTAATTTTTATAAATGAAGGTAAATTGTATTATTCCTTGTGTTTCTGAATATTTCCAATGCCCTTTTTTTTTTTTTCTTTTTTCTCTTGATAAATCAGGGAAATTAAATGCTTAGAATTTATATGTAACATCCACTTAATATGCATTTTCATTCTACACAAACAAACATGCAATTTTTGCTTTGCATTTAAATCTTACTAAGCATTGACTTATATTTCAAATTACTATCAAATCATTTTTGTATTAGGTTTTATTAGTGGCTTCATCTTTCATGAGCCCATTAGAAAGTCGAACTGGAACCCACACAAACAGAGTTCGGATGTTTGGTCCTGATAAACTGGCTCAGAACTTGAAAGATGAAAAATGGGATTGTGTACAAGTTGTGTGCACACAGCCCTTTAATAAGGTATGACTGATTTTTTGTTTTAATACCTGGAAAGCTATTGCAGAACTATTTGTGAAATTTCAACTGTATATTTAAAAGAAATATGAGATTTTATTTTTGTGAATATATATGAAATAAAAGTATACATTAAATAGTTCAGAAAGAAAAATATGCAAATTTTACTTCATGTATAAAATGTTTAATTTGGCTTATCTAAATCCAGCACAAAAAAATTAATAAACTGATTTGATTTTACAAAAATCTACAATCATTTATGACAAAAAATATTTTCTTTAAGGGTAAATTCATATTGTATCTAATAAAAGCTTTGTACCTCCTCTGTTGTAAATTGTTCTTAAAAGGAATATTCTTTTTTAGAATGCAACATATGGTTTAACATTCATAAAATTTCATTCTCCTCCTGAAAAATCTGAAGAGCAACCAAAAGAGCCTGAAACAAAAGCTGTAAGTTTTTATTATTTAAAAAAAATTATAATTAATATCAGTACAAATTATGTATCCTAACCCTAATATTGTGAATAAAGTGCAGTGAAATTTATTTACCTTTGGTGGTATTATGTTCTGCTACTTTTACAGCATTGCATGTAACACTTAGAGATTAATATATTAAATAATATATATATATATATACAATACATAGTCCGTAATCCGGACTCGTTTGGACTTCGGTTTTTCCGAATTATAAGATCATCAATTAAATCTGGTAAGATGGCATGCAGGAATGATACAATTAAAAATATGAAATCGTAATTTATGAAATAAAGAACAGTTATGATCTAAAGTGTATCAAAATTTACAAAAAAAAAAAAAAAAAAAAAAAAAGTTTAAATATTTATTTGTTTACTTTATTAAACATTTCTTTCAATGTAAGTTGTTTAAGATGCTTCCACAAAAAAATTCAAAAAGTTCCTTTTTCTTGTGTCATATATAGTGGACTTTCCAATGCCATACTTCTTGCATAATTTTGATAGGCCTTTATCCATTTTTTGCAGTAATTTCACTTTTTGTTTAATGGACATCGAAACATGCTCTCGCTTTGTAGATCCTTTGGCAACTCCAGAATTGGAAACTCTTTTTGACATAATCGAAAGTTCAAGCTTAATTTTTATAAAATTATTCTAACAGTCTGCAAAAAATAATAAGCCGGATCCAATTAGAAGATTAAGGAACAGCGCAATCTGCAACATTAACTAAAATATATAATTAGATAATTTTAGCCTGGCTAATACTGTCTGTTATACATTAAACGCACATGCGTAAACGCATAAAGTTTGTAGCTTTGAGGTCCGGATTATAGATCATTCCAGGTTATGGATGTCTGGATTACAGACTTTGTATTGTATATATATGCACTTGAAGGAAATAAAAGAATAAACATTTAATTGATAAATTCCTGTGCTAAAGCTTTAAAGAATTTGATTAAAAGTGTATAGTTCAAAAAGTAATGATTTTTTAATAGACTATTCTGTTTGAGGAAAAGTGTGTAGATACAATAAATTGTATCTATAAACTCGAAGTAAAACATTTTTTTAACCCTGAGATGTAAACTTATCTTTTAAATTGTTATTAAAGCTAGAAAAATGTAAGAATTGGTGTAACCAGTTGAATTAAAGATTACTATTATTTTCTGCGCTTGTAATTCATAGAATAGCAAATGACATGTAGGGGTAGTCGTGTAATGTCGAGAAAAATGAAACCTGTTGTTCGGCACTCAATTAATTGTCCCAGTTAAATACTAACCCCTTGAAAAGTTCTATTTGAAACATTAAACAAAGGGTGATTAATAGTTTATTAGTGTTACTTCTTTTTTTTTATTATTATTTAATTTAACTAATTACACCAATTTTTGCATTTTTTTAACTTTAATAGCAGTTTATAAATGGTAATAATAAAGTAGCATCTCAGGCTAATTTAGCATTTGACTAATCTAATTTAGCATCTCAGGCTTAAAAATTCTTTTCACTTCCAGTTTACAGACACATTTTATTGGACCTACACATTTTGCCTCGGATAATTTATTAGAAAATAATTACTTTTGAACTATGTATATATATATGAGATTTTGACAGTCGGGCACATGAGTGACGAAACTTGGCATCAGAGTCCAGGTGAGCGAAGCTTTAGTAGATTAGTGAAGCAAGAAGTATGAGAAAAGACATGAAGAAAGACATCCAGGACTTAGCTTACAGGCTTTAACTATGCCCTATCATGAGTCATGATCTTTCTCATATAATTATAAAATTTTTGAATTATATAACTATGATTTATAAGTAAACATATAATCTATAACTAAATTTAGAACTACAGTCAAAAGTCGTTAATTCGGACACCCATAATCCGGAATGATCTATAATACGGACCTCAAAGCTTCAAACTTTCTGCGCATGCGTCACGTTGATGCATTTACGGCCTTTATGGCTGAGAATATGCTTGTGCGCGTGCGCAAAATACGTTTACGAGTGCACGTTTAATGTATAACGGACGGTATAAGGTAAGCTAAAATTATTTAATTATCTATTTCAGTTAATGTTGCAGATCGCGTTGTTCCTTAATCTTCGAATTGAATCCGGCTTATTATTTTTTGCAGACTGTTAGAGCATTTTATAAAAGTAAGCTTGAACTTTCGATTATATCAAATAGAATTTCTGATATATATTTATTAATATGTAAATGATCTACAAAGCGAAAGTATGTTTCGAAGTTCATTAAACAAAAAGTGGAATTGCTACAAAAAATGGATAAAGGCATATCCTTTGTTTATCTAAACTTTAACGTTTGTTTATCTAAACTTTGTTTATCTTTAACGCGGCTGCGGCGCCGTGCAATGAATTGGAAGTTGATCTATCAGCACTATCCTTATCTTCAGGGCAGATGTTTTTATTTTATTTGGCTTATAATTCCTTATTAAATGTAGTATTTCATCTCGATGTACTCCATCTTTGATATGATTTAAATCAAATTCCTCGTCATTATAATTCGCTTCCGATAGCGAAGAAAGTGACAGAGGTTATTGAAAATGAAAAAATTCAGTTGACAAATTAGTCGGTATTCTCGACACAGCAATTATAGGACTTGAACAGCGGAACTTTGTAACTGAACAAGAACTTAATGTCTGTTTAAAGAATTAAAGAGAATGTATTTTCACATAAAAAACGAAGCAACTTAAACAACTTACATTGAAAGAAATGTTTAATAAAGTAAACAAATAAATATTAAGCTTTTTTTTTTTTTTTTGTAAATTTTGATACCCTTTAGATCATAATTGTTCTTTATTTCATAAATTACGGTTTCATATTTTTAATTTTATAATTTCTGCATGCCATCTTACCAGATTTAAACTGATGATCTATAATCTGGAAAAATCGATAATCTGGAATCGCCGAAGTCCCGACGAGTCCGGATTAACGACTTTTGACTGTATAAGACAGTAATATATGGAAGAATAATACTAAATAAATTACATGCATAAAAGTCCTCAATTTTTCTCAAAATGGGCATTGAGAAGCTTGTAAAGTCCTTTTCATCGAATGAAGGTACTGGTGAAGTTTCTTGATGCCAGTAAGTCCACAAGATAAAAATAAGCTTGCAGATATTATGCACTTTGTTCAATGAATGTAGTTCCATAATAATTTTTGAATAGGAGATGTTTAAAATTTTTGCGAGGAACATTTTTTTTCATATAAAACTTAGAAGATATACAATTTATGCATAATATATTACGTGCATTCATTCTTCTCATCATAGGTAATTAACAATACATTGACATATTTTAAAGTAATTTAAAAATTCAATACAAAACATTATGATATAATACCTTAAGAAAACAATTCAATATAAATCTCTAATAATATAATGTAATATTTTATAAGACAATAACACCTTGAATAAATTCTTTGGCATGTCCTCTCCAACAGATCAGCATGATTAGTTTGCTGATGGTTGGAGGGGTGCTAGGTACAAAATATCAAAAATCCTCCGTTGCCTAATAAAAGGTAACTAGTTTTTGGCACTGTACATTGTATCAAAGTGTTTTTGTAAAAATACAAAATCCTACAAAATTAAAATTTAAGACAAATAACTTGTATGATCAAGTTAGTCTTTGCTAGAATTTTGCAAACTAGAAATGAATATTGCCTTACAACTAGATAAAAGAAAAAAAAAAAATTGTTACAAAATGTTTGGTTTTCTAAAATTATGTGAAAAATATAAAAAGTCAAGATCGGGAAAATAACTGGTCATAGTTAGGGTTTAAGTCTAAATCAGCTATTAAAAGGTCATAATCAAGTAAAATCTTAATAGAGAATTTTGAAAAATTAAAATTAATTTTGGACAGAGATAGGAATTCCACTAGTTCTAACAGATAATTTAAATTAACTTGCTGGATTAAAAGGTCGTAGTCTAGTTGAATGAACAATTTCTGATTTCTTTTTAGTTAAAGGATTAGGTTTATCAATTTCATAAGTAACTTCAGAATATTATTTTAGAATATTGTAAGGTCCTGAAAATAGAGGAGAAAGTTTATGTGTATTAGGATATTGAAATTCTTCATTTATTACTTAATCACCTATTTTAAAATTACTAGGTTTATAATGAGTATCATATCTTTCTGTATTTACATTATGATAATCATCAGATCTTTTTTGAGCTATTTTTCTAGCTTCTTCTATTGTTGGATATAATTTTTGTTTTTGAATTAAGGAATCATAAGGTTATTTTCCATACATTAAGTATGATGGTGAGAATTTTGTTACAGAATGATCTTTTTTGATCTTCCAACCAAACGTCATCCAACCATTCTTCCAACTCATAAAGTCCAAAATTTGTAGTAAATACTAATTTTCAGTATCTTTTTCATTTAATTTTATATGCCAATAGCCTGATGCTAAATCCAATGTAGAGAAAATTTTTGCATTTGTAATTGATCTAATACAGCATCAATTCTAGGAATGAGCTCAAAATCAGTTTTTGTAATTTGATTAAGCTTTCTGTAATCAATACACAATATAGTTTTTGCCTGTTCATCATGCTTATAAGCTAAAGTTACAGGAGCAGCATAAGGACTGTAAGAAGGTTTAATAATTCCATTATTTAACAACTCATCTATTTGCTTCTTAATTTCACTATTATCTTTGGGAGATGCTCGATATGGTCTATAGACTATTGGTAATTCAGAAGTTAATACAAATCTTGGGGGAGGGGTTCAATACTGTTTTCAAAATAATTATCAGACTTTATAGTATTAATATCACTTTTACATACAAAATTTACACTATTTTCTAAATATTTACCAGGTTGTTTAGCATTGATATCATTTTCACATAAAAATTATTTTGAAAAAACTTATCTAATTTAACATTTTTACTCACCTTTTCCTAAACTGATAAACTTGATAATTATAAAAATTTAATTGTAATTTGAACAGTGAAATACAAGATGAGGATAATAATAAATAATTTAAATTAGAATTTACCACATAAAATATTACATCATTAGTGAGTTTACCTATTTTAAATGATATTTTAATAATGTTTTCTACATGAATCTGACTAGACAGAGAATATAATCTTCAACTTGATTTATCTTCAACTTGTTCAAGTTTTGTACCAATATCCTTAAAAATATTGTAAGGAAGAATATTTACCTGAGAATTTATATTGTAAGGAAGAATATTTACATGTCTTGAAAGTGACTGCAACATTCTGTTGTCCAATTCGGACATTAACTTTAAAATTTAACTTTAAAATAAAATCATTTTTTTTCTGTTAATTTTTTAGCACCATATTATAATTACTTATCGAAGGAACTTGTTGATAACTAAGCGCCCTATACGGATATTGAGAAGGCCAGGAAGGTACTTGTTGATAACTAAGTGGTCTGTACGGATATTGAAAATGCCGAGGCCTATACTGATTTGGTTAAAATTGCCTAGCAGAATATCTGGGTAGAGCTTGCCTCGGAGCAACAAATCTGGAATCACTTCTTGCACTTTCGACTCCGTCCAGTGACACTGAAATTGGGAAAAGTTTTCAAGCCATCTCGATCCATTCTTTTGGTGTATTTATATTCTGGATAGTGAGCAGCATCCACTGTGCTTCAGGAAGACCCTGGTTGAGGGCTTCGACCATTGTAGCATCAGTTAACTTCCAATTAGATCCATATCTTAATTTGTTACGAAAATAGAGGTCAATATTTTAAAATTTTTCATATGTGAGAGACACAAAGTCATTAAATGTCACTGGAATTATAATTAAATATAATAATTTTTTTATAATAAATGAATAAATTTTTGCACTGGAAAAATATGTTCTGAATTTTTCTTTTACTGCTTCCCAGTCTTTGTCTAAACACTCGCGAAAGGATTTTCAGTGTTGTTGGGAAAACGAGGACTAAATTTAGATCTAATATTAGTGATGACACATTAGAAAATCTTTTATTAGCGAAAGCAGGCCTATGTGGCAATTGCTATGAACAAAATTATGAAGTTTCTTTCTTAAAGAAAGCAAAATCTGCCACTGTTTATAACATTTGTACGAAAACTGATTAAAGCATTTTTTCCCCCTTAAACGATGCAAGTAATAAAAATGTTTTTTATGTGTAAGGTATTTTTGTGTTGCTTGCATTTAAGAATTAGTTACTATTTATAGTTAATTCATTATTAAAAACTATATTTTCATCATTTAAAAAGTTTTTTAACATTGTGAAAAATCTCCCGATTTCTTAAAAAAATCTCCTGATTTTTTAGTGTCATAGGTTGGCAAGTATGATATAGGTTGGTATGCATACCATGTTAACCATCTGAAAAAGGTACATCTTAAAAAAAGACATTGAAAAGTGTTGTGAAACATGTTGAGTATAGTTTATGTGAAAAAAAATGAAAACCTTTCTTCATTACATTTTTTGAATAATTTGAACTCAAATTTCATAAATTTAATTATTAATTTATTAATCACTTCTAAATTATTTAATGGCTTCCATTTTAAGTGCAAAATATCAGTCTTGCTTTATTCACATCTGTAAGCAGGGCTAAAGAAAGAGAAGGGCTGGGACATCCCTTTGAGGGAAACAACGCCAACATGTAACCCTCTTGGGGAGTATACAGGATGTTATGTGACGTAACTGAGTTTGCCACCTCACAAAAGTGTACACCTTTGTATACAAATACCAGTTTAAAATATTTTCATTATTTTATGAGGCTGCATAATAATGCTGATGATCCATAATAATGCTTTTATAATAGTCATTGCAAAAACTTACAAAAAATCTGATTAACTAACTCATTCCAAGTGTTAATTGAAGCAGGAAAGTAAAAGAAGCAAAATTTGTTTCAAATTTATGTAGTATGAAATCTGCTGTTAGTAGTAATTATAGATGAAAAAAGCATTTCTAGCAAATATTCTGAAAATGTACTTGTATATTTATATTTAATTTTCCCAATTTCCCAATTTTTTTGGAAATTATTTTTTGACAAGCATCAGAAGCATTATTTGCACAAATATTGGTTGTTTTAATGATAAAGAATTCTTCATAAATGAAGGAATTTATCAATGTTTTTTTTAATGGGTTACTATTTACATAAAAAATAACTGTGAGAAAATGAACAATATTTAATGTATATTCAATCTTAAAAATTAGTTTAAGCTTATGTTTTATGTGTACTATAGTTCAGTATGCCATAGTTATATCACTAGCTTAGATATAAATATATATAATTTCATGATCTAAAAATATCGACTTATAGTATCTATTATCCAATTCTTCAGAGATTTTTGATTTTTAATCAAATACTTAACGAAACTGAAGGCTGAATAAGATACTCTCAAAATAAAAGATTAGCAAGAAAACCAAACTATGTCACCAGTCTCTTCCTCCGGTTTCAGGTGCGAGAAGCCGAAGATCCAGCCTCTTTAGCCCTGATCTGTAAGGGCATTTCATATTATACATTCATTCTGTTTTTTTAAAATATTATTTTTGTATGTGTTGAAAATTATTTTTCGCTCAAATAATTTCTGGTGATGAACATTCGGACTTTTATAACTTTGTCAGAAATTTTGGATGGCCTGTCCGTAAGTTTAATAAAAGAAGAGGTATTTATAATATATACTAAATTCAATTAACATGGAGGAACTAAAATTTTGAGAGCTAATTTTTTTAAAAACTACTCGTGCGATTTTTACAAAACTTGGCACTTTTACATAATTTGAGTTGTAGAATCAAAACATGGGAAACAATTGGTATGTCATTTCAGAAAATGTCCAATTTTTGTGTCAAAATACCTATGTTAGAACAATGCTATATATAAATCTAATGTATATCCTAAGTCCTGCTTTTGAGACATGAAAAATGAAAGTTGAATTTTGTCAATTGGCCCAGTAGAACGGAAGTTATAGAACTGCCTTTTTTTTTTTTTTTTTTTTTTTTAAGTTTTGTGCAGTGTACATTAATTAATTTTATTTTCATTTTATTAAAAATACTTTTAGATAAAATCTTTCCTTCCATATTCAGGATTTTCTCAGTATAATAGTGTAAAAAGATTACAAAATAAAATAAGCCAAAGGACATATAATTTAGAATATCTGATTAAATATTAATATATGTTGCATCAGAATCATATTATAGTTATAATCTTGTGTTATAAAGTGAATTTGGAAACTCTTTTTAATTAGCATGGATGCACAACATAGAAACCTGCGAGCTGTCACTTCCTACAATTTGCTTATCATAAATGAAAATTTTTTTCAGGCTGTTGGAAAAATGGGTGCTTTCAAAATAAAATATGAAGATGAAGATATTCCGTCAGTTGGTTCATGGTTTGGGAAGCGACAGAGCTTTAGTAAAATTTCAAGTAATATTTCTTTTGTAGAATATAATATATTTTTGTATGATCAATAATATTTTTTACTATGTTTCAGCATATTTTTTTTTTCTTTTTTTTTGGGGGGGGGGTATAGCTTTACAGAATTCTTCAGTATAGTTTTTAACTAGAGTGAATTATAAGAGACATAATTTAAAGTCAGCCTTTTAATAATATTATTTAGGCTGAAGTATATTTTAATTCCCCTCAATCAGTAATTATTCTTCAGTGAAGTTAAGTTTTTTGTGGTGTAACCAGTAAGAAATTATTTTATTTCCATTGATTGAGTAATATTGTGTTTACTTGCCTAGCTTCCTTTTTTTTTATTCATCAATTTTATTCTTGAAAATCAAGAGGGGGGAAAAATACATGCTATATGCCATTTCTGAGGGAAGAATTTAATGAAACTTATATATGGTTAAAAAGTATATATGAGTAAATTCTCATTATTACCTTCAATTCTATTTAAAAAAATTTTTTTTTTCATAATATCTACAAATAAAAGCAAAATTTTTTGTTCAGCTGCGTAACTTTAAGCTAGAGATTATTATTTCTGGTAAAAGTAACAACAAATTTTAAAAGGAAGTAAGGCTAAAGAAAATTGTAGATAGTCATATTATTTTTCTCCCATAGTGGACTCCTCTGCTCCTATGAAAAGTAAAAACTTCTTATATTACCAGCGCAACATCTTTTTAAGATTAAATTTGTGAGGAGGACTATTTTTTATACTTTGTATATACACTCACTTCCAAAAGTTAAGCATGAAGTTGTAAAATGCAAAAAATCAACAAATACTGCTTTGATTGACACAAAATTCGGCAGGAAAGTAGCATATATATTTATGCATAAAACAAAATCAATAATTATATACGGAAATGAAAACAATAGTAAATTTTTGTAAGTTATCAGATAATGACATACTGGAGACTTAAAAACAGAATTAATGTATAAAGTAAAATAAATGGCATAAAATGAAAAAAAAAAAGGACATTAATAGGCTATGTGGTCCCCCCTCATCTGTATACAAAGTTTACACCTTGTGACCATGCTTTCAATTAGGTGGTCAACCACCGCAGAATTAAGCAATCACCATTCTTCTTGTAGAGCAGTTTCCAGCTCAATAAGAGTGGCAGGAGGTGGGAAACGTGAAGATAAGCACGGCCGAGAGCTTCCTAAAGATTTTCAATGGGATTAAGGTCGGGCGAATATGCTGGCCACGCCATACGCACAATCCCTTCACTCTCCAGGTAGTCATCGACGATATCAGCTCTATGGGGATGTGCGTTATCATCCATTAAAACAAAAGTAGGGAAAACTGCTGCAACGTACAATCTCATAATGGGTTCTAGGACTTCATCTCGATACCGGACAGCCGTCAAAGAACCTTGTTTAAAGACGTGCAGGTCGGTGCAGTGTCCTAATGAAATCCCTGCCCACACCATAATGCTTCCGCCTTGGAATGCGTGATGTTTTGGGACTGATTGTGTGTTCATTCTTTACGCCATATCCTTATACGCTTGTCATCTGGCTCCAGAGCAAATCTTGACTCATCAGTAAACATGACATTCCCCCAGTCAGACACATTCCAATTGACATGTTCCCGGCACCACTAAAATCGTGCCCCTCTTGATTGGACGGATAGAGGAACACAAACTCAAGGTACCCGGAAGTACAGTCCACTCATATGTAATCTTTGGCATACAGTAGCTGCAGATATCACCTTACCAATGGACGCTGTAACCATAGATGTCACACGTGTGGAGGTCACTCTGCGATTCTGCTTGGCTACAATAGCAATATATCGATCTTCCGCAGGGGTTGTAATCCCTGGGCAACCGGCCACGGGCCTTTTGGACAGCTGTCCGTGTGGTTTGGAATTGTTTCCATAAATGTGAAATAACAGAAGGATGAATGCCCAAGAAAAGAGCAACATCTGGGATCAACTGTCCTGCTTCAATGTGACCCACAGCGCTCAGAATCTTCCATTCGTCTTCTGGAAATCATAGAAACACGTATGTCTTGAAACGAAATTGTATGAAAGTTTTAAACACCTTCTATCAGAACTTACAATCAACTTCTGTAACCCTTTGTAAAGCTGGCTTCATATAAGACTGCCTTTTTTGCATACTTCTTGACATGAAAGCGCGATTGGCTGTTACCTAACATATTTGCATACTTTCATCTACGTCTGCAGCGAAGTGCATCCTTTTCAATTCTGATTGGCTTCCGGAAATTAGCATTTTCCTCTCCGTGCTTAACTTTTGGAAGTGAGTTTATATAAAAATATAGAGTCGCATGAAGTTTAGTTACACAAAGATTTTCAAAATTTAATTCATCAAAGATTATCAAAATTTAATTCATCAAAGATTATCAAAATTTAATTCAAAAGATCATGACATTGTATTTAATATAACTGGGCAGATTGGCAAAAGCTTTTATTTTCAAATTGAAACTTTAAAATATGACGTTTTTCTAGAAAATAAAGGAAATATTAGATGACAATACAGTGCAGTAGTTTGAGACTATACATGATAAATTTTGCTGCTTTCTTTTCAGCTAGGACCAAGAAAGGGTCAGTTTGTATCAAATAATAAGATGCTGGTTTAACTTTGCTACTTTCATTTTGCTTATGCGGAAGTGCAACAGGAAGTGAAAGCACTTTTATTACAAAGGAAGTTTCTCCTGTCAGTTTTAGAAGTGCTTCTGTAATATACAAAACCTTAAAGTTTTGTTTAATACTTTGCATCCTTCAGATTTATATCTGCTATATTTGTGTATAGGTCCTGTTTCAAGCCAGGATTCACCATCTTATGCAGCAGCAGTTCTTGCTTCCTCTGATGTGTCACCAAAACTGTCAGGCTCCCAGGTATGTTTTCATCCTCTGATTGAATTTTTTTCTAGTAGTTGATAAGCTCTATTAGTTACTAAGCTTCTAGTTTACTAATGTTTATAGTATAGAATGTATTCTAAAATTTTATTGAGAACCTCGGGAAGGGAGGATTTTTTTTTTTAGTTTAAGGGTTGCGTCATAGTTTATGTACAAGTCTTAAGAGACTATGAATTTTGATCATTCTGGATTTTCCTGAGTATACCATGCTCTATTAGGAAGATTATTAATTAATTTAGAAAAATGATTTTTGGTTGAGAGATAAACCATTACTTTCTTCACTTCATTATTTGCTTCAGATTCTTAAATTGCCTTTTATATACTTATGTAAGTAATAATCTGAAAAAGTGAGAACAAGATGATAAGGGAAAATTTTTTAAGTTGTTTTTTTGGGAATATGACTAATTGCATGAGCATAATGTGACAATTATCATTGTTCTATAACAATGTAATGCATAGTTTCTGATAATAATATAGCCATTATTTTTATTTTGTAACTTTGTAATGTCTTGTGTAAGATTGGTGTAATGACATAGTGTGTGATCTACTGCTTTTAGTCATTTATCTTGCCATTTTATGGATTTCATCGCATGTTTACATATGAAAGTTATTGATTTTTTAAAAAAATTTTTGAAGTATAAAATCAATGAACTTTTGTGTTATTTCACAGAAGCATGGTTGAGACAGTATGACTATTTTGTTGCCATGCTGTATGACATTTGTAACGTATATTTCTAAAAAATTCATAAAAACGCCCCTTTCGAAGGCTCACTCCTACTTTTATTTTGTAAAATTGAAAAGAATTTATATTTAATGGAATCAAAGTTTAAATAGGTCATTAAATTAATTGATGGAATTATTTGCATTTATGTATTATTTATTATTTGTATTTTCATATTTAAAAAATTGTGTTTTATTAGTGTCATCTGAGAAATAAATAACTAATTAAAAGTAGTAGGTCACATACCACATCACTAATAAGATCTTTTTATAAAAAGATTCAATTATTAATCTTAATTGTTCAGTATTAAATGTGTAGAATTTGCAAAATAAGTAAATAAATAACTATCACTTACATACTGAAAATCGAGTTGGTAGTTTTTTTGAATGAATGATTGTAAATGTCACCATATCCACAGGTTTGACGTCTATTTTTTTATATGACCAGATAAATCCGATCATGGCCTTAGAGGGTTAAATAATCAAATCATCATAATTGACAATAACTATTAAACAAGAACAAAAAATTTAGTATTACTAAGTAAAAAAATTAGTAAAAAATGCAATGAACATTATTAAACTGAATGCGTATTAAAGTTCGAATTCAAAGGATATAAAAATGAATTGATCTTAAATTGTCTTTTTGGTGTACAAACAATGCATCTATCACATGTCCACCTTTGCCTGATAGCACATCCTCAACTTATAAGGACCTTATTTTATTCTGACCAGTTATTTTTAGTTTTACTTTCCTTTCCCTCCTGATTTTATTTTCCTGCTGGAATATAAATGTTAGTTGATATAGTTTGCTAATCTAAACGTGTTTCAGAAGCAGTATTTAACCTGCGTTTCAAGAGTTCGAATAGTAGTAGTAGCTGAGTTAGTTCCGAGTTTATGCTGCAATGTTTGAATTTAGCTTTTTAAGTCAGTGTTAGACACCTTTCAGTTTATACTGATATTTCTAGGCTCAGCTTTATGTGCAGCCAATTTTGCATTAAGCTAAGAAGCCAGTCGTTAGCCATCTTAATTTAATGTGCATTTATATTCTTTATTTTCTGTTAATTTAGTTTTGCCACAAGTGGTTGTAAATGTTGAGCACCAAGTGTGTGCATCTGCTTAATTTAGTTTAAATAAGAAGGTTATTTAAAACCTTCTTCTGCAGTATTTATTCCAAGACATAGTGAGTATTTATTACTTCGTCATCTACGCAGAGTCTATATTGTATGCTAAAAAAAAAGAATTCACCGACTCTACACACTCATCTCCCAAAGTAGCTTGCCTTTTGTTGTTCCCTTTATAAAAATGTCTGCCGCCCTTTTTTTTTTTTTTTTTTTTTTTTTAAAGATTTTGCTGAAAAGAAGGATTTAAAAAGGTAAATATTGCTCTTTCCAGTTAACCGTATGTGCTTGAGAAGCTTTACTGGTAGAGTTTGCATCTTATTAAAGTCTGTCAATCAGAAGCTTTGCTGAAAATTTAATTTAATATCTTTGCATCCTGGAAGCAAGGAACATGATTTTGTGAGAAAGTGAGGTTCACCCAACTCACTCTGTTGGTCAAGTTAATGGCCTCTTGTTTATAACATATTCATTCTATTTTATTCAGTATTGTTGTTAACTCTTCGTATATCAATAAAGCTTACTGTTATTTTTCTTTAGAGGTTCTTTGATACTCTTCATCAGGCATCTGCAAAATCCTTCCAACCATCGAGAACATTCAGGGAAGAACTTCCAAGATACATTTTTACATATTATAAACTCTCAGTATTGGATCTATGATAATCCTTTTGATCCCTTGAGTATTTCACATGTGTTGCGAAGGGATTTTGTGTCATGTGAAAGATCATTTTGTAGCTTCTTCTAGATAGAGAACATTGAAGAGAGAGAGTAAAATTTTTGTTGATATCTGAGACTACTTAAATGTGGGATGTGTGCATAACTGCATATGTAAACAGAGCAATATATACTTCTTTAATGTGTCTCTTTCTGCTTCAATGGTTACTGCTTCTGTGTGAAACCTGCTCCTACCTTCCTATCCTTGTGAAAAGGAAGCTTTCAGTGACACAATATGTTTTCAATTGCTTTGTTAATTGTTGGGTGAGTTTCAATATGTCCTTACAAATAAGGCAAGTAGTACTTTCTTCACTACCTGTCTGCCTCTGATATTCAAAATTTATTCCTGATTTTGGAAAATGTTGATCCTGAGTGGAATGATTTTATGTGTTCTCTGAATATCACTAGTTCTGTAAACTTTGGCAGTATAAGATATTTTTCAAATTATTAATTCCTTTTTAATTCCTTTGTTTCAAACATCCTCTGACATATGGAATATCTATACCAAAAATATTATGCTAGACTGTAAATCTTTGAATGAGATGTTACTGGATTATTTCTCTGTAGCTATTGAATCTCAGCAAAAGTAATTATCGCTCTGCACCTGTTTTATTCAGTACTGCTCAGTTTTTTTTTTGTCTGCAATACACTTAAAAGGATCTTTCTCAGCCTGGCGAAAAACCGTCTCACCCAAGCTGTCGCTTATAGTAATTTTTATATAGTGCTGAACTTAGTAACATGTAACAGTGTTTCTCCTACTGAAACAGTCGCATGAACATAAATGCTCAAATGTTCCAAATTTTGATTGTCAGTTTGTGCTTTAAATTTTTTATAAGGCTATTATTTGAGAGCCTCTCAATCGTTATGGACAATGCCACCAATCTTTATCCTTCAGCAGTGTATATGCAAATTCACCATGAGTTAAATTATTTGCAGGGATGGTTGACCATGCGAAACCTTTGAACACCTTCGACAGGTACTTTACAATCTTGCTGCAACTAACGCTCTCCTGAATTCTAACCTAGGAAATGAACAACTTCTTTATTGGTGCTCTTATATTTTTTGATTTTATAAACAATGTACATACCTCTCTTTTCTCTTTCTCGCATCTAAAATATGCCTAGTGATGCATCACAGAAAATACAAACTTCAAGTGAATGATCTTCGCTGAGAATTTCTGAAAAGTAGTATCTCTCTATATTCAACTCATTTAATGCTGACTTTTGTGAAAGGGAGTGCAAAAAATATTTGTGACCCAAATGATTTCTAAAGTGTGAAAACGTACTATCCCATTTCATGGTACAAAAATAATGATAAAAATTAAACAAATAAACATTAGCATATTTAAATATGATTTTTTATGGCTATATTAGCAATAATAAATATTTGAAAATCAGTTTTAAGCAGTGTGCTTCTGAATATTTAGTACAGCAACTTTTGCCCCCCTTCTTTTTCCTTTTTTCCTGCAGCCCCTTCAGTGGAATACCCAGGGTGCATGTACATACAAAAGGGCCATATTCACAGTAATTCTTTTTCATTAAAAATTCATAAAAATTAAAAGTGGCATTATTTCGTTAATTTTTTATTGAAAAACGTCTTTTTGGATTGCCTTATCCTCTAATGTCTCTCTAATTGGAAGAAATGCATATTCCTATTATTAGTGCTTATCCCTATCATTCAGAGTATGTATTGTAGTGATCAATCTAGTGAATAGTTATTCACACTTGTTAAAAGCATGACATCAGGAAGTGATGGGGAACATATTAATCAAATGATCCAAATTTAACATGTAGGACCATGGTGAGCTAGCTAGGGACATACTCCTAACCATGGTGACCATCCTCCTCCGTGGTGAGCTAGCTAGGGACATACTTTGAGTCAAGCTTCAAGCCCAGCTGAGATTTCATTTGCTGAAATTGCCCTTGGTGAGCTCCTAACCATGGTGACCATCCTCCTCCGTGGTGAGCTAGCTAGGGACATACTTTGAGTCAAGCTTCAAGCCCAGCTGAGATTTCATTTGCTGAAATTGCCCTTGGGGGGATTAGAGAATGATCACTTGGGTTGCTTTAGAATTCCAGGCCCTGTTACTTCAGAAATGCTTTCACTTCTCTCAAAGAGAAAATATCACTATACTGTCTTTAGGCAGAAGGTAATGGTTAGTCTGCTTTCATTTCTTTTAGAACATTTCTTGGTAGTTTGTTGAAACAAGTACATTCATTTCATCTTTTCTTCACTCTTGGACTCCAGACTCGAAGCATTCTTAAAATATGACCATAGGCCATCTGTTTATAAAATATGACCATAGGCCATCTGTTCGTTTTCCTGGCGACATTGTAAATGCTACACAACTGGTCATCAGTATCAACTCCTGATTTAGTTGCGTTATAAAAGGTGGCTTGTTTTTTTCACGATTCATCAATTTCATCATCC